GAGAGAGAGAGAGAGAGAGAGAGAGAGGGCTTTGGCCTCTTTTGTTTTGCAGCTTAGGAGAAAAGTCAGGGATCAGCAGAGGTTCGATCCTAACCCTAACCCCTCTCCAGCCTGAAGCTAATTGCTCTTGTACATGTTGGGGAATGCCCGACAAGGCAAGGAGGAGGAGTCAAGCAGGGAACTAGCGTAGTGGCAAGAGGCATTAGCCTATCTGTCTTTTTCCAAGGGAAGGTGAGCGGTCTGGGAAGATTCTTGTACTACAAGTAGCGGACAACACAGCTGTTGACCTGGACCTTTCACTAGTCCATCAGCCACGAAGGAGGAAACTGGGTCTCCGAGGCCCAGAGACCTTCTTACCTTTGGCTTTTGCATTCCGTCTTCCTCTGTCTTTTTCCGCCGCTTGGTCTTCTTCTCTTTCTTCTCCCGATGCTTGCGCCGCTTCTTCTTCCCCACGCCTCCATAATCACTGCCACCGCTCTCCGACTTGGCCCGGTACTCCTCTCGGTCGGACTCAAACTCATCCTCACTGACCTGCCAAGAGGAAACAACAAAAGCTAACAACCCAGAACCCAAAGTAAGCGAGATCGTTAGCGTTAATTAAGGACGGGCCTCCCTGCTGAGCACAGAGAAGCCCCCGTGCCAGGACCACAGTCGCCCCATTGTGTCATAATTTCATTGCGACATAATGACTTGGCAAACAAATAAAACAATTGGGGGTGTTGTTGGGTGTTTTTTTTTTTTGTCAATGTGAAGAGGAGATGCAGAAAAGCTTTTATGGCAAAGAGGAGTTCTGGGCCGACTTTGGCTGAGGGTAAGAAACTCTGAAGGGTTTCTATCACTCTACACCAGGAGTGGGGAAAGATTCACATAATTCCTGAGCATGCCATGCGTCTACGTCCACAGGTTGTAAAGGGGCCACTGTTCCCCACCCCTGGTCTACACAGATATTTATTTGTTTGGCTGATTTCTATAGCCACCCCTCTTCAGAAACATATATTACAATATAAAAATCTTAAAAACCCCTTAAAACAATAAAAACGACACGATGCATAGTTCTAAGCGTGAACGAATGGAACGGAATGGAACAGAGAAGGGGATGGGATGGAATAAATAGAATACAATAAATAGAACATAATTGAACATAGAAAATAAGAGAATAGAAGGGGATGGAATGGAATTCTTTATTGGCCAGGTATTAAGAACAGATTTTACTTGGGGCCATTGTGTCATTAAAAAGGAAAAAGGCAGGTTATTTTTGCTGTTTCATCCATTCGCTATGCCTCTGATCCAGCCAGAACCTTCTCAAGAACAACATTATTTATTATTTATTAGGAGCGTTTACATAGCTGCTGAAGTCACTCTTGGTGACTCCGGGAGGGGGCTTGCAAATACAACACCCTGGTACAAAAAAAAAAACACCAATAAACCCTCCAGGCAGCAGCAACTGTACTAACCCCTTGAGGGTGTAATTCTGGGGTCTCCAGGCCTTGGAAGAGAGCATCGATGCAGGGGGGCAATCTTATCTCTGCAGGGAGGGAGCCAACACGGACAAGGCCCTTCTCCTGGATCCCACCAGGTGGACCCCCTCAAGAGAGGGGACCCCTAACATCCCCTGGCTCCCTGCTCTGCTGGGTCACATCGATGTAACTGGGAAAAGTGGTCTGGGGCCAGGTTATTTGAAGGACCCTCTTCTCCCAGGGACCACCAGGAGCTTGAATGGGGGCCTGGAAGGAAACTGGCTCCCACAAGGGAGGCGACACAGACTCAAATCTAGGCTGGCACAACTCTGAGCCGCATTTTGAACCAATTTGAAGCATCACTGGCACAACGCGAGGCCCAACTCCCCCGTGAGTTTATTCCTGGGTGAAAACAAAGGCCAGAAATCCTGCCGTGGATGGGCCAAGCCAAGCTTTCCATTCTCCCTACCCCCCTACCCCCCAAAATTGTTCTCTTCTACCTGGACACAGCTAAAGGAGTCCAAATTCTGTGGGTGAATTGGCTTTACGTCATGGATTCCTCACCGAAGTACCCAATCAGCAAGGACGACACGAGCTTATGGGGTCCGCACGGAAGAGGAAAGGCTTGGCTGGAAGGACTTACTAATTTTTTGCGCTTCCTGGGTTTCCCCGGCTTGTTATCCTTCTGCTTTTTCGGCCCTCGTTTCTTCTTCTTGACGACAAGGGGACTCTCTAAGCTGCACAAATCCTCCTCTTCGTTGTCTGGAATACAAAACAAGGGGGGGAAAGGATCCCCTCGTGTCAACAACCACAACCACAACAACAAAAAGAGAGAGACAGAAGGGGAAAGGATCCCCTCGCCTGCTTTGAGACCGCTTCAGTGCCACTTCCGGGCTCAACGGGGCGGCGAGGGGCAAGAGTGGCCCCTCTTGGAGCCTGGCCGCCAACCCTCCCTCCCTCCCTCCCTCCCGCTGCCACTCACACCACAGCGCGGATAAGGGCCAGGCGGGGAAGAGCAGCACGGGAAGGTTGAGACTTCCTCTGAGAGGAAGTTTCCCGGGTGGTCTCTCGAGTTTGGGGGTTTCCTTGCAGACGTTTCGTGGCCCAACTGGGGAACATCATCGGTGCTGATTAACCCCACTCCCCTCTAGCACTGATGTGGTTACCCAGTTGGGTCATGAAACGTCTGCAAGGAAATGACCAATCTCAGAGACCACCAAGGACCCCACAGTTCTCCTCCTCTTCCTTTTCCTCCTCCTCCTCCTCCTCTCCACAAACCCCACTCCCCTTAGGGAAGGGAGGGAGGGAGGGAGGGAGGGGAGAAAGAAAGAAAAGGAAAGAAAGAAAGGAGGGAAGGGAGAAAGAAAAAGAAACAAGAGAGGGAGAGAGGGAGAAAGAGGGAAGGGAAAGTGAAAGATATGGATGGATGGATGGATGGATGGATGAATAGAGGGAGGGAGGGAGAGAAAAAGGAGAGGAAGGAAGGACCACAAACCCTGGCATTAGACGCAGCTTCAGAGGATGTTTTGAAACAGCAAAGCAATCCAGGGCTGGAAGGGACCTCAGAGGTCATCCAGTCCAAACCCCTGCTCCAAAAGCATTGTGAAAGTGAGGTTCTCTCCTTTGACCCACTCACTCACATAGCCACATCCACCGAGCCACGCCCACAGAACCGGTAGTAAAAACATTTGAATCCCACCACTGCTTGCAGCATTGATGATGTCACATAGTCGGATCATGAAACGTCTCCGAGAAAGCCACCAACTTCACACAGCCCCAAGGACCCCATAGTTACCTTCCTCCTCCTCCTCCTCCCCCCCTTCTTCTCCTTCATCCATTCCACAAATCCTTCTGCCACCAATGATGTTCCTTAGCTGGGCCGCTCAAGGAAACGACCCAGCTCGGACTGCCAAGGACCCCACCATTCCACCCTGAGTGTTCTCCTCTATTCAAATCCTGCGTTGTCAGCCTAATCCAGACAAGTTGGGTTACTATTTCCGCTTTTTCATGGGTGTTTTTTTATTCTTGACACTACTTTGTAGAGCTTGGAAGAGACCCCAAACTCCTTCTCCTATGCCTCCTAGGCTTATTATGGCCAGATGGACTAGAACCCCCGTACTGGGGGGGGGGGATGACGAAAAATGTACTTAGCAACACGATGATCTCTAGAAAGGGGTCAGGATTCCAATTTCCCAAGGCCTGGCAGAAGCGTGGAGAGTCGCAAGCAGCAGGCCGGTCCCTTGAATGCTGCAGGCGTGGCAACAGGACATCACTCCTTAATAGGAGCCACCGGGGCCAACTCCCCTCTCATCGCCCATTGTTGTAAATCAGAAGCAACTCCGTCTCACAGCCGCAGAAATGACTTCACCGTATTAAAGATGGAAGAGAGGCCATTAATCCCCCCCCCCCCCCCCGGGGAGGTTTTTTTTTTTTTTCCTCCGACAGCTTTGTAACCTCCTGCTCTCCCCTCCGCGCACGGAGGAAAGGCTTGTATCGACGGCGGTGGCGAACCGCACACGCCAGCGACTCCTTAATATCGCAGGACAGCTACCTCGGCGGTAATTAGATGCTGCAGACTCTGGGCCGCCTCCAGCGATTTCTTGTCGCCTCAACCAAGACAAAA